GCGGCCGTTCTCCTTCCCGAAGGACGCAGTCCCCTCCGGATAATGGGATATTGTTTGAAGGGCTGTCGAGCGAACCGGTGCGGCAGAGAGACGGAGAGATTCAGCAGATGATGAGGAGGCTAGCCTCAAGGAGGCAGGCGAGTGCAGAGGGCCGATCTCTCCGGCAGATTCAGGAGGAGGACATGATCAGCTTCCGCAGAGCTCTGTACCGTACTGGTGTGCGTATTCGTAGTATTCAGGACGGTGGCCGCTACCGAGACATTTCAGCAGAGTTCTTCCGCCACAACCCTGCTTGCCTCCACAGGTTGGTTCCTTGGCTGAAGCGAGAACTTACAGTCCTATTTGGTGCCCATGGATCTTTGGTTAATATTGTACAGCACATTATCATGAGTAATGTGACTAGGTACGATCTGGAAAGTCACGCCTTTGCTGAAGATTTAAAGCCATTTTTGCTGAATCGGACTGAACATTTCTTACACGAATTCATCAGTTTCGCCCGCTGCCCTTTTAACTTAGAAGCGTATGATCAACATGCCAATTATGACTGTCCTGCGCCATCATATGATGAAGGAAGCCACTCGGACTCGTCAATTATTACAATATCTCCAGATATGGCATATTCTCAAGGGCCAGATAACAGTTCGTCTGTGCCTGGTCTTGCTCAGGCTGCCTGGGATGATGAAACTCCAGGGCCTTCCTATTCCATTTCAGAAGAGGTTCGTGCAACCATAGCTTCTCCGCTGGAGACGTCAGAAAGTTCTGATCAGGACTCAGTTACAAAGAGTCAAAGAACCAAACTGCAAACTCAGTTCCAGGCCAATGCTGACTCAAACGACAGTGACTCTTCCTCGGACAATTGTGTTATTGTTGGATATGTTAAGCCATTAGCTGAGAGGACACCAGAAGTGGTTGAGCTGTCCTCGGACTCTGAGGAGTCCATCAGGGAGAAGAAAAGGGAAGATGTGAAGAAACAGCCACCAAGCCAGTGTCGCAGCTGGAGTGACAGTGAACCAAGCAGGAGCTTCTCGCCACGTTCCCCCACGTACAAGGAGGACATAGGTAGTTGCAGAAGCTGCCTGTCTCCTGCAGTTGAGAAGACAGAGTCAAAAGGTGATGAGAATATCAGATGTAAGGTAAAAGATCTGTCTCCACACGACTTAAGCTGGAGCTCCTCTCCGGGGAGTGACACAGAATGCTTCCCTTGGAGTCACAGATTGTCTAGAATGGGAAAGTCCAGGAGCCCACAATCCTCTTCACGGAACAGTCGAGGCAGTGATGGGCATCGGTCTAGGAGGGAGCATCATAGCAAAAGCCGACTTAAAAAGAGACGATCGAGAAGCAGAGATAGTAGCAAACACAGGAGCAAAAGAAGCAGCAGGAGGTGGAAGGCTCATGACACCAGAGCCTCTTTAAAAAGTCAGAGGGTCTCTCTAAGTCGTGAGAGCACTCCATCCAGAGGAGTAAGCAGATCACGATCCCGTAGCAAAGGCCGTGGCAAAAGGAGATCAAGAAGCAGAGACAGTGATCGTTATTATGTAAAAGACAGTTATCAGAGTAGATACCACTGGGGTTACACCTTCTGCAGTCGAAAAGCATTTGGAGATGGCTATGAATCCTCTAGCAGGGGGAGGAGTCAGTCTAATGTTCTCTATTCAAGGCAACCTGGTAGTCCAGAGTATAGGATACGATCAGTTATTGAAAGGGGAGAACTCCATAGCCAGAGGGGACGCCATGAGAGACACTATTACTATTATGAAAGATGCAGGTCAAGGAGTCGATCCAGCAACAGGTCAAGGACCCCTTCTGGGGGAACTGACAGAATGAAAAGTGACAAGCCTGGTGGGAAAAGGAAGTACAAAACTCGCCACTTGGAGAATGCATTCATGGGGAGCACAAGTCTAGGAAGAGAAAATGACCCCAAGAAAACTTCCTCAGAATCCAGTGACTGCTACCAAAATGAAGAAGAAGATAGCCTTTCAGACAATCAAATCAGCAGTGAGACAAAGCGTAAAAAAAGGAAAAAAAAGATGAGGAGTCCAAGTGTGGAGATAGTCTATGAAGGAAAAGTGACAGACACAACAAGGCACCTGAAAAAGAAAAAG